TTGTCTGTCTGTCCGGACTCATGACAGAGACCCTGTACTCCAGTGGAGGATATGAAGGCACACCATTTTCACTCATAGGCAGTTACTGTAAGGGAAAGTTCTCATCGATCACTGAAAATCTAAAGAACCCATCACTAGTTCTTCAGTCTTTAATTCTTCTTGCCTTCCTTTCCCGTCATTCCCTAGGCCCTCACTCCAGCTCCCATGCCAATACTTCCTGCAGTGGCGTGCCTCTCAGATGTCTCCCCCTTTAGAACTAAGGTCCTCATTCTTTCAGCTGCTTAGAGATTTGGTAGCCAGTAACTCTCATCTGAGTCTCCGTCCAGGCATTGTCTTTGGATGAAAAAAGTTACTTAACCAAAGTTATGCCCCATCTCCAAGGGCAATCCCCATCCAACAACTGGTAGACATGGGATTCAAGGCCCAAAGGTGGCCTTTGCCTCCACTAGGGATAACAATTCAGCAATGAACATAGGGTTCCACCTCTTGACAACTCTACTCAGAAAATTTTATCTCCTCGTATCTGAGCTGGATATCTCTGCGTGCTTCTACAGACCCACTCATCACCCTTCTCTACCTTGCCTGTGTGTCTTAGGAGGCTGGCTTCCACATCGACCAGGCTCCCTTGCCTTCTGGTTTCCAGTTGGATTCAGCCAAAGGGGGAACCATTCAGAGAGGTTACACGAAAGGCAGGAGAGCCGTTGGGAAAATGGGAACCCAAAAGCAAGTACTGACACAGTAGGAACGTGGGCGGATGGTCAGAAAGTCCATCTGAGAGAAATATTTTAGGGATGATGAGTTCTGCTACTTTCCTCTTGTATTTCATTAAAAAGCTCTGTGTACAGTTCTGAGCCTGAATTAGACCTTGTCATCCCTCTCTACTAAGGTCATGAGAGGATTTCTGCAGTGGGAAGACAAAGCACTGGTTTGACTGTATTTAAAAGCAGATTAGGGGGACCTGGGTGGCTCAGTCAGTTAAGCATCCGACTTCAGCTCAGGTCATGATCTCCAGGTTCTAGAGTTCGAGCCCTGTGTTGGGCTCTGTGCTGACAGCTCGGAGCCTGGAGCCTGCTTCGGATCCTGTGTCTCCCTCTCTCTCTCTGTCCCTCCCTACTCGTGCTCTCTTTCAAAAATAAACAATAAAAGTGTTAAAAAAAATAAAGTAAGGAACATGGGAAGCTTTTTGCTAATACTCACACCTTACTTAATGTTAGAGAATTCACATTGGAGGGAAATCCTGCAAATGTGTTAAGTTAGCCAATCCTCACATCTCAGAAACTATACATGAGGTGAATGAGAAAAGACCTTTAGACACGACTTCACCCATGCCAACAGGAGACCATTCTTGCTGGGGAGAATCCTACAAATGTGCCAAATTTGGGAAATCCCAAATATAAACATGGCCAAACTGTTGCCAAGCATGAGAGAATTCATGTTGGAGAAACCCCTACGAATGTAATGAATGTAGATTGGAAGGAATGTGTTCCTCTCCTACTCAAGCATCAGATAATTCATATAAAACAGAGAGGGTATGAATCTAAGGTATGTTATTTTACCCACAGCTCATACTTTGTTCATCATAATTACAGACAACAAAATGAAATTTCAATCATTGTCACCCGTGGGTCATCTCTGGCTTAGCATGTGAAATTCACACTGCAGACAGACATGAATAATTTTGTTTTGGGGGCAGCTGGGTGGCTCAGTAGATTGAGTGTTCCACTCTTGGTTTTGGTTCCGGTCACCATCTCATGGTTGGTGGGTTCAAGCCCCACATCAGGCTCTGTGCTGCTAGCACAGGGTTCTTTCTCTTGGGGTTCTTTCTCTCCCTCTCTCTGTGCCCCTCCCTTGCTCGCTCTCTCTAAATAAGTAAAATTTTTTAGAAAAGAATTTGGTTTTGGGGCACCTGGGTGGCGCAGTCGGTTAAGCGTCCGACTTCAGCCAGGTCACGATCTCGCGGTGCGTGAGTTCGAGCCCCGCGTCAGGCTCTGGGCTGATGGCTCAGAGCCTGGAGCCTGTTTCCGATTCTGTGTCTCCCTCTCTCTCTGCCCCTCCCCCGTTCATGCTCTGTCTCTCTCTGTCCCAAAAAATAAATAAACGTTGAAAAAAAAATTAAAAAAAAAAAAAAAAGAAAAGAATTTGGTTTTGTGCTTCAACATTATTAACCAGTAGGAAATCCATACAGAGAGAGCTGACGGAAGTGTAAAAATATATTTGATTGTAGGCAGTAATTTTATTACACGAACCAGCGTTACAGCAAAAGTTACCTATTGAAAAGATATTTGGCAAAAGCATCTGTTACGTTCAGAGGAGATGGTGACTTCACCATAGGAAGGGACTTTAAAGCGCAAATGACTGCAGGAACTGCCACAAGAGAAAAGACCTTCATTTCTAACTATAGCAGCCACTCACTCTTGGTGCCCTCCTACCTGCGGAAATCCACAGGGCCAGCTGCAGAAAGGGCCATGCAGTCAAGCCCGGAGACGAACGCCTGCAACCGGCCTTCCATTCTTTAGGGCAACTCATGCAGTTCAAAGAGCAGAATCCCATCGAGGCATTGCGCCATGGGCCTGTCACCTCGGCCAATGCGGGGAAGAACTCCAGGAAGGTGTTTTCGCAGGTGCCAGGGACCCTCAGCAGAACGTGGCAAGAAAGCAAGCGCACTCAGCTCCTGCCCCGGCCAGCCCTCACTCCTCCGAGTGCCCTCAGGATGTTCCGGATCAGGTCTGCAACCCGGGGATTGCCAAGGGCACAGTCCAGCTGGGTTCAGTAGGTCCACCTACTGGGATGCTTGAATCACACGGTAGAGCGTGTACCGATCTGAGCACCTGTAGCAACAGCGTGAGGCGGGTCTCCGAGACCCTCGTCAGGCTCGAAGATTCCCTGGGACTCAGGAAAGCTGTTCTACTTTTCAGAGTCCTGCGAGTCCTTCTGAACTGCTTTATACGCGGTGATGACCTATTACAGTGAGAGCGCGCACAGGACAACCGGCAAGGGGAAAAAGGCACACGGGGGACGTCCAGTAGAAACCCGTGGTGACAGATCAGTTGTTTTCTCCCAAAGGAGTCACGCGGGTCAATGCTTAGTTCTCCCAGGAATGGTGCGTCACAAAACCTGCTAAGTGCTGCCGGCCAGGGGAGCTCAGCCAAGCCTTGGGGTGCAGGGACTCTACTGGAGGTCATGCAGGGATGCGACAACCACGTGACTGACTTCAGCTACTGAGTCGACAGCCCCCAGGCGTCAAACGAACACAGCGTGGCCCAGGGCCTCACACATACAAACACAGATGTTCACCGCAAGTCACAATCTTTGTAGAAACGATCTGGCCAAACTAGGACGGCGATGCCTGGAATCCAAAAACACTCTGATCGGGCAGAATATGACAGGGGCTTAGCGGCGGCCTCCCAGGAGCCGGACAAGGACCAGCCCTCCTGAAACATGATTCTCCTCGGAGTATATGTGGCTTGAGCCATCCAGGCCTCCCAGGTTTACACTCTACCGATGATTTGTCACTTGATTAGAGGCCTAATTGCCGAACTGAAAAAAATGTTGTTGTCAGTCGGATAGGAGAGTTGACCCTGGGTAAGGGTGGAACCGGGGACAGACACAATTGTGCAAGAAGGTGGCAAAGGGGAAGTCCACACCACGGGAAGGTACAGTAATGGCACCAGCACGTTGCCTAGTGTGTATGAGAAAACAATGTAAACCGCCACCATGTACCAGGTGCCTGCTGTGGGCTAAGTCCTAGGTTTGGGGTTCTAAGATGTACCCTACATCAATCACAACAGCCATTCAGGCAGGGGACCTCCAGCTATGACTCAAGGGACCAGAGAGTACTAAGGACAAACCTCCCCTATGGACTGATATATCCCAACAGCCCGGGCTCGGGATAGACTGGAAGAAAAACTTGGCACGTTGCTCGGTTCCAAAATGACAAAGTCACACTAAAAGTGTTGGCACCGCATGAGTCACAAATGTGTGTCCTCCGCCAGGACCCATGCAAAACAAGAAGTCTTATTTCTCGGTGAGACCCCTTGCTCCTGTGTTATCAGGGTATGGGGACAGTCTGACCGGGGCCAAAGACGAGGTCCTTCTGCAGCTGGGGGTTTCTCTACTGTCCTTGGGACACTATCATATTAATTTTCTGGTCTCCTGGTACCGATGTCTGAAAAGGTTAGCAGGTCGCCTCTCCTCTAGAAACAAATACGATGGTCTCTCGAGGACTGGCCATCGCTTACAAATGCGCAAAGAACTGACACTGGTGGCAATGCCCACTCCCCTGAGGGCAAACAGGCTTCTCTCCTGGGACTCCTACACAAGGCTTGGGACACTCACTTCCCAGAACTCTGCGGTGGAAGTTTGGGCTCTGATGCATCCAAACCACCCGGGAATGTCAGTTACCTCGGAGGGGAAAGGGAAAGACAGGGACAGAGCAGTATGCTCCAATGGAGAGCCCATACGCCTATGACGGCTCCACGACGGTTCTGTCACGTGCTTCTCGCAACAGTGCCTGGCACCTGCTGGCTCGGGCACAGAAGCAATCGGGTGGATCTGAGCTGGGACCTTGCGGTGCCCGGACCAAAGAGTCCTGCTTCGTGGCAGGCAGCTCCAGGGGCAGCACACGCTTGGGCCTCTTTCCCCAGACCCTGACGAGAACCAGAAAACTTTCCTCAAGGCACTTCCAGGCCTTTTTAGCAGGCCATGCTGCCACCGGCTGGCACACAGGCCGGCACAGAGAACAACACGCTCGGCTACTTTACGCGGTGTTATCAAAAAGCAAACACCAGACTCTCCCTGGACGCCCCGGGTCGCACCCTGGGAGTAACACGATTTATTTCAGGAGACTCGGGCATCGGGGTTTCCTCCCACTGAGCGCATCGTCCGCCCTCCCCGCCCGCTCCCAAGCGCTCTTCCGGGCCGCTCCCCCGACGGAGCCCGCCCTCTGCTCTCTGACCCCTGGGGCAGGCCCGGTTCCCAGGGACAGGCCCCGCCCCCAAGATGGCGGCGCCCGTGTGCCGCTGAGAACGGCAGCAGGCCCCACTACCCTTTCTCATCCCGAGAAGCTGAAGGCAGCGGAGAGCGCGGCTTCGGGGGATGGAGGGTGCGCGGCAGACGGCGAGGGAGACGGCGCCTCGGCCTCGGAGGCGGCGGGACCGGGGCCTCTGCGACCGTCCGCCGGCCCCTCGCCGCCCCCCGGCCTCTCGTGCGACTCGTCCGGAAAACGGTCGCCCGCTCCGGTCCCTACATCGTGCCCCAGACGAACCCCGTCGGTATCACTGGCCGCGACTCGCGCCATCTTGGCCATTGGCCGTGGAGGCCCCCGAAGCAGCTCCTGCGCGTGCGCCGCGCTCCGACCTCGGGCTGCGGGGCGCCGGGAGCGGAAGTGCTCCGCTGACCCGAGGGCGGCGCGAGGTCGCGCCGCTTGTTGTCCTCCGACCTGGCTGGCGGGTTCTGGTAGCCAAGTACCGGGAGGCGGAGCAGGCACTGGCCGGAGGGCAGGTGGGGGTGATGGGTTCGCGCCCCTGCGACCTCGGGGCCCTGGGCTGAGTGGGGGCGACGGGCCGGGGGCGACAGCCAGTGATACTGTCATTGAGTCGTTGGGTCAGGTTCAGCGGCCGTTTGCTGAGTGTCTAGTACGTGCGAGGCGCCCTTGGGTGCATGGTCATCCTCCCGAGGGCTGTGAGTAGGTACTACGATTGTCTTCATTATATCGCGAGAAAGCAAGAACAGAAAGGCTCGTAGCCTGTCCAGAGTCACACAGCTAGAAAACCCCGGGAGATCCTTCTAGCACCTATGCGTTTCTAAGGAGCGTTCCCGAAATGTATCAACTTTGTGCTTGCTGTGTGCCTTCCCTGCTAGAACACAGCTCCGCAGGGTCGGGGAACTCTGATTACTTTGTTCACTGATGTACCTGCAACACGTTGGACAGGCCCACAGTAGGCACTCAACTTTTTCACTGAATGAGTCAAAGCGACAGAGCGGGCAATCAGTTCGAGTCCACAGCTAGGACCCTTATGGGATGACGCAGTGCTTAGCTCCGTGTCTGGCGACAGTCAGGCTGCTACTAAGCGTTTACTCTTAACACTGAAACGAGGCCTTGGGGCTGCTTCCATAAAGTTTTCCATCTGGGCTTTCCTCACTTTCACTGCCTCAGAGAGGTTGCTCACTGCATCTCCTGTGCGGTCGTTGTTTCCAGGGTCAGGGCGCATCAGTGAGACCACTGCTCACCTCCTGCGGGCTCCGGCTCAGCCGCCCCTGGGCTTCCTAGTCTACAGAAGAGCCAGTCGAGGCCTCAGAAGGTGAGTTCCCTGGCTCAGGGACAGATGCGGTGCTGTGGCCATGGTCCCAACGGAGATGCGTTTGTCTCTGGATCGTTTGGTCCTGCGTCGTTAGGAACAAGAGAGCTCTTATCAGAGTCCTAGGAGGAGGAGCCTCAGCCCAGAGCCTAGGACAGAGGGAGGAGGCTCATAGGACAGACCCAGAGCCCAGGGCCGAGGGAGGAGGCTCTCAGGACAGACTGACCCCAGCGTCGTGGGTGGAGGCTTAGAGGACAGCAGGTCGAAGAAGAGCTGGACTTGGAGTGGCCTTTGTCCCTCCAGCGGAGAAAGACCATGCCCACTGTGTGACTGGGAAGTTGGACCCCATTGGGGGAGAGAGACGAGATGCACAGACAGGTGGAGTAATGCTGCCGTGAGGAGGGCGGCCTGCTGTGGTGCCTGTGAGGGTCGGATCAGGCTGACAGGGACCACTGCCAGCTGCACAGGACTCTCTCCTGACACTTCTGTGCACACAGCTTTTGCCATTGGGTGTTTCTGGATTTGAGTGAGCCCCAGAGTGAGAACCTCCCACCTGCCGCTAGCAGAAATGTGGACTCTCCCTCCAGTCTGACTCAAGTACAGAATGCTCTCATATGGTTTTGTTTTTCACTTGGGAACATTTGCAAGCGGTCCAGAGGTATGTTGTCAGCTGTTTCTGCTGCCTCATTTTGTTGCCACTGTCCCTGGACCTGAGAGCCCGAGTCGTTCACCTGCACGAGGCCGAGCCCTCTTGTCCCGAGGCGGCCGCAGGGGTTGCTGCAGTGACAGCAGCTACTCTGTGCAAAAGCTCCTTGCTGACACTTTCTTTAGAAAACCGCCAAGGCGGGAAGAGCAGGCGGTTGAATGGGCATCATGGGAAAGGAGAAAGTGACAGGCCAGGAACTGGGTGGGGGCGGCCAGTGGAGGGCAGGGTGCACAGGGCAGCAGGGGCAGTGGTTTCCAGCTCCTTGTGGAACGACCGGTGCTGGGCTCCTCACCTGCCTCTCTGCCCCTTCTTCAACCCTAGTTTGTCTCCTTCCTGCAAACCGCAGCCAGGTATCCCTGTCCTGCAGACTCTGCTAAGGGTCTGTCACTTTCGGGGCTCAGCGTAATCACTGTTCATTTCCATTTTATCAGTAATAATAGTCACAGTCAAAAATGCAGGTTAACAAGGGATGTGAGGGTGGCTCAGTTGGTTAAGCGTCCGGCTTTGGCTCAGGTCATGATCTCACGGTGTGTAGGTTCGAGCCCCGCGTCGGGCTCCCTGCTGACAGCTCGGATTCTGTGTCTCCCTCTCTCTCTACTTCTCCCCTGCTCGCGCTCTGTCTCTCACTCCAAAAAAGAAATACTAAAAGTTTTTTTTAAATGCAAGTAAACAAGAGGACCGCAATCATCAGCGAAAACCAGTATCAACATTTTAATCACCGCTGTTCCTCAGGACGTACTTATTGCCGAAGGAGTGAGATTGCGTTGCACTTCCATTTTTGTAACCTGCTCTTAAATAGGTTAAGAAATGAAATAATATTCCAATGAATTTTGGAGGCCCACAAACACAGGTCACCTGCAAAGCCCACATGAGCTTATCCAAAGCCCAAGGGAATGGCCTGGGGCTCCCGGGCATGGTTGCACACCATCCTCCCCAGGGTGCAAGGGTGATTATTATCTGGCTGGTGGGGATGCGCTCCTGGCTGAATGCACTGATCTGGATGCCCCAATTCTGTCTTCCTAGATCTCTGCCCTTTGTCTCGAGCAGAACAGGATGGCCATGTTCCAGGTGAGTTCCTAATTTCCCCCTACTTTGTGTCCAGTGACCTTGAGGCAGCTTTGGGGCACCCGTATTGTACCCTTGACAATTGCGTTACTCTCCTCCGCTGCGGCTCTTTTCTGTCCACGCTGTCATCCACCTCGGGGTTCTCCGATCCTTCCCCTGGCCACAACCAAAAAAATTAAAAAACAAGAGAGCAAGAAAGGAGTGCTCTCATCTCCGTCTTTCTCTGGGACATGCACCCCCCCCCCCCCCCCCCGCTTTTTTCTTTTCCTTCTCAGAGATACTTGTTGAAGCACAGAGTCTCCTTTTTCCCCGGTTCCATGGCCACTTCACTGTTGGCTTTTTCGTTATGTTCAAAACGTTGAAAGGAAATCCATGCTTGGCGTTTTACCGTGCATTAGAGGGTAGCTGAAACATCCCTATTTCTCCCCCTGGTGTCCCGTTTCTCCTCAGAGATGCCCGCTGGTAACAGTTGGGTGATAGCGAGGGGTAGACGCGTCTCCGTGCGTTTCGTCCACCGAAAGCAGAACACGTGCGGTGTTGGGTGTGAGGTTGCACGAACACCACCCTGCCTCACTCCCGTCTTGCTCTCCCCACCTGCTTGTATCCCAGGTGGTGGTCCTCATCCACTCGTACAGATGATTTCAGCTCCTGGGCAGGGGGACGGATGCATCGTTTGAACTGTTTCTCTGTGGATATTCGGGTTTTTACCCCTCTTTTCCTGTTCTATACTGTGCCTCTCGGCTGACTCTGTATGTGTGTGCTCATTAGTGCGGGTGTTGATGGGGAATTCACCCGGAAGTTGGGTTTGTGGGTCAAAGGTACTCACACGTTAAACTGGCAGTCCCAGATCCCGGACTAGTTACTACTTTCATGAAATGTTAAAGACCATATAATTTCTGTGTTCAGCTTTTCCAGGCTGTTGCAAGAAGAAAAGGGATCCAATTCATGTTTTGAAGCCACTTAACCTTTTTTTTTCCTTGCTCCTAACATTGATGGCATTTATTTAGTTTAGATAAAGACTTCCAACACAGGACACTGTTAGGAATTAATCCTTAGGAACTATGTAAAAGAGATGTGATGTAAGGCGAGTATTATATATAAAGTATATATGTGTATTAAGTACGTATATATATATATATATATATATATAAAGATGAAATAGATCAACAGTTTTTATTTTCCTACAGAATTTACTGCAAGTTACCATGCTATGAAAACAAAAGCCGCCCACTCTTAATATGTCAAATTTGTTTAGTCATTTAAAGAAAAATATATGACTCCCATCACACAGATAATTCTAAATCTACTTTGAAAATCAAATCATCAAGAAATATCTATCTGGAGAGACTACAGACCTACTGTCACACTGTAACAAAGATAAGGCTGCTATCTTCACAGAATATATGGATAATTAGTAATCAACCATTAACATAGTGAATGTTCTAATATTTGGGGAAATACTGGGAAACTATTTTTTAAAAAACAAAGTTCTGTGGACATTGTTTACCTTGCCGATGAGATTAGTTTGGAAAAGGGGTCTTGTTTAGTCTAGAAAACCTTCAGAGTCCAATATAGTTCTGGGCTAAACAGATAACTGAAGATCCTTTACAAGGACAGGTAGGCTCGGAAATCACGCAGTCTTATTTTGAATCAGCTTGCTTTAGTCCAAGGTAGGGAATTAATGATCAAGTACCAGGAATTTCTGTAATGTACCCAATGCCAAATGGCTACTAACATTCTGTTTCCTACTATGATGACTCCTTGATTAGAGGTCGGTGGGAGGCATGAAACATATTGTGAACTGTAAAGTAAATTGTACTCCAATGCCCAGATCTCTAAAGATAAATCTTGTTTTTCAATAGAAGAAACTCACTAAATCAAATGAATGCTACTTGGAGCAAAAGTAGTATAAGTAAAACTGGGGCAGGAAACTTCTAATCGCACAGGAAATACATGAAAGACTGAATCATTCTAAGAGAAGAATCATCTTCCCAGTAGCCCCACTGCCGTGGATGATATTTTCATGAGCCTGGGCCACCTTCTCCAATGAATACTGAGAACCTATTACAGGTTTCAGCCGGCTATGCCCAGATCCTTTAAACCATAAGCTCTGGCAGTCTGGCATACGGCCAATCCAACTCCTCCACTAGCCCCATGAACCCGAAGACTTCCTCCAGCTTTCACATGGGCGCTGTGGAGCAGAGCTCGATAAGCAGTAAAATATGGGATACCGATGGCAGCTCCGTGTTTAAAGTCCAGTTTTTCTGGTGGTGGGTACACAGTGTGGTCTGCCGTAAGAGCATACTCAGCATAGCCCCCAGAGATGGTGCTAGGAGTGAAAACTCTGTCACCTTTCTTGAAAGTAGATACATTATGTCCAACAGCTTCTGTTACCCCAGCCACGTCTGAACTAGGAGTATAGGGTAAGAGTGGTTTTATCCTGTGAGTAGCAGAACGAATCTATGTTTCCACTGGGTTTACACCACCTGCATGGACCTTGATTACAACCTGATGGTCTTTTGGAGTTGGTACTGCCACATCCCGACTGGAGTTTCAGCACTTCTGGTCCATCAAATTCAACAACTCCAATTGCTCTCGTCAATTTGAGTCCAGTTGCCATGGTGACCCGGTTCTAGAGAGGGGAAGCGAATTCTGCCAGGGGTCACTCAGATTCCACAAAAAAGGGGACCGAAGCCACTTAACCTTAAATGTGATAACGATACTGGGGTGCCTGGGTGGCTCAGTCGGTTGCGTGTCCGACTTCGACTCAGGTCATGATCTCACAGTTCATGGATTCGAGCCCCGCATCGGGCTCTGTGCGCACAGCTCAGAGCCTGGAGCCTGCTTCGGATTCGGTGTCTCCCTCCCTGTCTGCTCTTCCCCGCTTGTGCTCTGTCTCTCTCTCTCTCTCTCTCTCTCTCTCTCTCTCTCCAAAATAAACATTAAAAAAAAAATTAAAAAAATTAAAAAAATGTGATAACGATACTACAGAAGATAAATGAGACTCGCGAGTCACCGAATATGGATCTGTGGATCTGGCAAGCATCGTTCTTCTGGAATGTGGATGTTCACCCACCAGGAAGCTCCCAACCCCCGTGCCGCTGGGATTTTCTCAAGGTATAATTGGCATAGAACAAAACTCATCAATTAAAAAAAAACAGGAACGAGAGATGCTCCCTCTGTTCTTCTCACTTGGGGATTTACAAGGGTTTTAGGAACTCCACACTGGGCACCTAGAGGAGAGACCAGAATATGTTTCCTGTTGCTTCATAGTCCTGAGTAGCTGTGTTTGGAACTGTTCTAGCTCAGCGTCCCCTGCGAAGCCTTCTCCGCCAGCCCCACGCAGACCTGACTTCTTTCTGTTCTCTGTTCCCTCTGCTCCCCCCACCGTTGCCCTCAGAGGACAGGAGCCCACCCTGCTGCCCGCCCTCCCCTTCATACGTGAGTGTGTAAGTGTCATTCTCCCTCTGGCAGGCTCAGCTCCTTCCGTTCAGAAAGTGTGTTTTTGTCTTTATTAATCTTTACATCCTCGGGACTTACCTGCTCGTCTCCGTTTGGTAAACAAGTTGGAATATTGCATTTCCAGGGTAAGATGTTTTAACGGCTCATCTGTTTCTTTATAAAGGTTAAAGTAACTTTAGTTACATAAACACTGTATACTGGACTGTCTCAAATAGCGTAGGGAGCAGCAAAGAACATTTGTGTAGACGAGCAATGCAGCGTCATGTTGAAAAATGTGGATGTCGGGGCACGTGGGTGGTTCAGTCCATTAAGCATCTGACTTTGGCTCAGGTCGTGCCCTCATGGCTCGTGGGTTCGAGCCCGGTGTCGGGCTCTGTGCTGACAGCTCAGAGCCTGGAACCTGCTTCAGATTCTGTGTCTCCCTCCCCCTCTGCCCCTCCACCACTCGTGCTCTCTGTTTTCAAAACTAAATAAAAACGTTAAAAAAAGAATAAGAGAAAAACATGGATGTGGATGGGGCGCTGGGGTGGCTCAGTTGGTTGAGTGTCGCTCTCTAGGTTTCAGCTGTGGTCATGATCTCGGGGTCGTGAGACCGAGCCGAGTGTCGGCGCCATACTGGGCATAGGGTCCGCTTGGGATTCTCTTTCTCTTTTCCCCCTGCTCCTGACCCCGCTTGCTTCCATGCACACTTTCTCTCTCTTTCTAATTACAAAACCCCCGAACACGTGGGTTTGGAAAGCAGAAGGCATGTCGTCCCCGTGTCCTAGCTGTGTGACCCTGCACAAGTGACTTTACACTCTGTGTGCGTTACTGTCCTCATCGGTCAGGGCTGTCCCGGGATGGTGGCGATACTGAACCTCTACCACGAGAGAAAGACCTAGGATGGGACACATTGTCTCGTCTGTCCCCCAGCTGAGCCCTCTGGGCTAATGAGGAATGTGCCATTGCAGGAGTCCTTGACCTTCCGGGACGTGTTTGTGGACTTCACCCTGGAGGAGTGGCGATGTCTGGACTCGGCTCAGAAGAACCTGTACAGGGACGTCATGCTGGAGAACTACAGCCACCTGGTCTCCGTGGGTGAGGGACCGTGCCACAGTGTGACCGTAACACACCCATACACGTGTCACCTAGCTGGTACCTGCTCAGGGGCGTCTGGAGCCTCGGACAAGTTCGGGCCTAAGGCTCACTGTTGGGAAGTTGTAACCCTGTTTGCACCCCACCCGGGACACTGTGCTGTCACCTGCTCTGTGGTGTGGTGCACTGAGGGGCATAGCTGTCCTCCTGGGCGGGCACCCAGGCCGGACCACCTTTGGTCGGCAGGGTTTGGTGTCGGTTCTGGAACCCATGTGGCGTTAATAACAAAGTCTGTGTCATTTCCCCCCCTCAGGACAGCTAGTTCCCAAACCCGATGTGGTCATCAGATTGGGACAAGGAGAAGAGGCCAGGACGGCAGAGGGAGAGACCCCGACGCGGAACCCTCCGGGTAAGCAGGTGCCGGGCCAGTCAGGCCAGGGGACCTGGTAGGTCAGTGAGAGCCTGGCATGGGGGGGCCCGCCTGGGAGCTCTTCTCCACGCCCCTAGACTCGGGGACACAATTTGGGTTCAGTGAAGCGAGCTGCTGTCACATCCACGCGGTGCCCCCACTGACCGCCCTCCCGCAGCCCCCTTGTTCTTGCTGGGGTTCAGGCAGTGCGCCCCGTTTGTTCAGGTCCCCTCTCTAGCTCCCAGTATCCTCGGTGGCTGGGGAAGTGCCGAGCCTTCCCCCTGTGTGCTCCCCCTGCTTTCTGGAAGCTCGCAGGGCATTTCCTTTCTCTTGGGCGTTTGCATTTTCCTCAGAAGACGTGGGTGCAGGCGTGAGGGTTCCTCTTTATTTACATCCTGCGGGCCCTTCCATTGACACCTGTAGTCTTCTTCAGCCCCAGGGAAACGATCCGCCTGGTTCCTTGCAGCTGGTGTGGACCAAAAGCTTTGCTAGTGACCTTCAGCTAGGCCAGGCCGGGCAGCCACCATGGCCTTGTCTATGCTCAGGTTGTGCGGACGGTGTCAACCTTCCCACGACCGTGGCCTCTCGTCTCAGCTCCTCAGTCCCTTCCAGACCTGACTCGACCCTGCCTGTTGTCAGGATCCTGCTGGCATCAATGCTTCCCTCCCACTCCCCTGTCTTTTGTGTCCTCTCTGTATTCACTGAAAACAGGTCAACCCGAGAGGACATTTCCCCAGGCGGCTCGCTCCAGTGAGCGCGTCCTCAGGCCTGGGCACAGCTGCCCTTGCCCTTGTCCGGTGGGGGGCTGGTTTGGTTGGTTTTGCTCAGGGCCCCTCGTGGGACCCCCACACTCTTCAGATGCAGATCTTCCTCCGTTTGTTGCCCACGCACGGCGGCCGGTCCGTGGGCCCGTCCTCAGGGCGTGCGCGTGGATTCCGGGACTGCCCCGCGTGCTCCGTGGACCAGCAGCCGGGGCCCTAAGCAGAAGCTCATGCGATGGGGTCCACCTCAGGGTCACAGATGTGAATCCGCTCTGCAGCGGCTGTTCGGACACCGGTGGCAGAGCCCCGGCTGCGCTGGACGCGGGCCCGGCCGCGCCCTCGTGTCCCTTGAAGCCTTCCCCGCGGCCCGCGCTGGCCGGGCTGTGCGCCGTCTCTCTCGGGGCCTGCACCCCCTCCCTCCTCCCACGGCCGTTTGGGGGTGCACCTTCCGCCTTTCTCGCTCAGTCTACCCTACGTCCGCGGCCTTGCGGAGATCCGTGAGGATTCCTGCTGTGCTGGCGGCGTGCTCTTTCCCACCTGCCGCATTTCCGGGAATCGAAATGTCTAGTTGTCTGTGCAGCGGTGCCCTGGAAGGAGGAGGCCCACACTCAGAGGCGCGGCCCCCTCTTGGGGTCCCCGCTCCCTCGGGTTCGGAACCGTATTATGTTAGGGTAACCGTCCGCTCGTGCAGTGTAGGTGCGGCGCAGTGCGGGACACGGGGTCCTCCAGCGCGTTCCCCCCCTCACCTCCAAGGGCTGCCTCTTCTCAGGTTCGTGTCTGTAATTTTGCTGGTGGCACCTCCTGGGCCTGGGCATACCTCCACACCTGCATTTCTGGCGGTTTCTATTTTGCCCCCCCCCACCCCCACCCCTCTGAACACTCAGGATGGAGCTCGTTACACCTCGGCCTAAGGGTCCCAGCTCTGTAAGAAGCTGGGTGCTGTTGGTAGCTGCTGTGCGGGTTCCGTGCGGAAGGGGAGGTGGTAGTCTCAGCTGCTGTGTTTGCACTCCAGCAGGTAACTTCTTCAGACCTCGCTCCGTGGGGGTGGCTTATCCTCTGCCGAGAGCACAGACCCCTGGGAGAGCGCCTACATCTTACTGTCCAGCTGTGAGGCTGGGGGCACGTTCGGCAGATACGGTTCATTTGGGACGAGGACAGAGGAAGGGGGTTCGGGACTCATCCACAGCCCAGTAGTCAAGAACCTAGGCTTTGGAGCTCACAGGCGGGGTTCAGATTCTGGCTTCTTCGCTCACTGGCCGTCCCTCCCTCCGCACGCTGGCCCCAGAGTCTCTTTGCCTGTTTGTGGAGGCGGCTGATGCTAGAACTTCCAGGACGGTCCGAATTGAAGGAGCGGGTGAACATAAGCCTGGCCCCGTGGAAGCTCTCGGTAAATGTCATCACTGTTGTCACTGTTGTGCACGGAAAATAGTTTTTATTACAGTCACGGTTAACCAGACGTGTGTCACCTAGTGGTCTGTGGACCCCTCAGGGTACCCCACGAGGTGGTCCCTCCCAGTGGAAATGGTTTCAGAAAGCCTGGGGTGGGCCCGGTTCTGTGCGTTTTGAGCGACACTCCAGGTAGATCTGACTCTGTGTCTAGTTAAGATCCGCAGTTTAACCATCCCCGGAGAGGGGTCCAGGGGCACGGGGACACACGGCCAGGCCTCCCCCAGGAGCCTGGGATCCGTTGGGACGGAAGGCGGGGCGTGTGGACTCACTGCTGGGCATTTTGCCCCTCTTCCCTCATTCCCCCAGACCTCAGGCCGCTCCGGGACTGCACATTCCCTGGGCCTTGGAGGAAATTTCTGGCAGGTCCCATAACTTCTCTGCTTGTGCCAAGATATAGCAATCTTCTAGGAACCGTTAGTCTGCAGAGTGGCCTCACGGTGGTCATCAGGGTTGTCCAGTTCCAGGTAGTGGCGTGAAGTGTGAACTTCATTGATGGTGGTTGAGCTTTTCCCAGAAAAGTCTTTGCCTTTCTTCATTTTCCCTGTCTTTTGTTTTCTTTTTCCTTCTCCTTCTACCTTTATTTACTTTGGGTTTCTTTTGCTGTTCTTTTCTAGCTTTCTTCCTGACATCTTATCACGAAAATGCACACACTGAACAAGTGAAAGAATCATAGTTTGAATACCCATAGAATTCCACCTAGGTTCTACAGCGAACATTTTGCTCTGTTTGCTTTTTCTCATATCTCTATGTGTCCTAATTCCTCTGTCCTCCCATCAGCCCCCTTTCTTTCTTTTTAATGTTTTTATTTATTGTTGAGACAGAGAGAGACAGAGCGTGAGCAGGGGAGGGGCAGAGAGAGAGGGAGACGCAGAATCCGAAGCAGGCTCCAGGCTGTGAGCTGTCAGCACAGAGCCTGATGCGGGGCTCCAACTCACGGACTGTGAGATCATGACCTGAGCTGAAGTGGGTCGCTTAACTACTGAGCCACCGAGGTGCCCCTATCAGCCCCCTTTCTTTTTGTGATGTGTTTCCTGGTAACTTTCAGAGACCAGTACATTTCACCCCTGAATACTTTCCCAGGCATGTCATTAACTATGTTTGTGTTGAATGCTTTTTGTGATGTGTTTCCTGCTAAGTTTCTGAGATCTGGACACTTCACCCCTGAATACTTCTGCAGGCATATCATTAACTAGAATTCATGATTTGTTAGTAGTGTGTGTCCATAATGCTTAGTAGGTATTTTAATAAAAAAATTCATAAGTAGCACCGTATGGTATTTGATTGTATGTGATGACATTTATCATAATCCCCATGTATATGTTTCATGTATTTTCATTGTATATTTATGCTGAGATGACTGTTCTTAAGTGATATTCATGGAGGTATAATTTATATGCCGTAAGCTGCCTTTCTTACGCGTACAGTCCTGGAGATTTGACAGAGATTTAGTCATGGAACCAAGATACTGGACCTTTTCATTCCTCTAAAGCATATCCTTGTGCCTCTGTATAATCAAAGGTCTTCCTCACTCCCAAATCTGGGATTTGGAAATGGATTCTTCTCATTTCTAGTCTGCTAGTTTTATTCTTTCTAGAATGTCCTATAAATGCATCTTATAGTGTCCTGCCTTATGGGTCTTGCTTTCACTTAATGCTTCTTAGCTTCAACCGTGTTTGACATGTATCAGCATCTTGTTCCTTTTTGAAGGTGAATGATATTATATTTGCTTATTCATTAAGCAGTTTATGCACATTGGATTCTTCTGGAATTTTTGGTCATTATGAAAGAAGTTGGTATGAGCATACACATCCAGGTGTTTGCATGGGCACGTTTTCATATTCTTGGATAAATACCTGGAGTGGTATTGCTTGGTCATGTGGTAAATGTGTATTTAACTTCACAAGATATTACCCCGCTGCTTCTCAGCATGGCCGTACCATTTTCGTTGACCACCCCCAACATAAGAATTCTGGGTGTTTTGTATCCTCGTCATTACTTGGTATTCTGAGTGTTGTTAGTTTTTCTTTTTAGTAGATGTGTAGGGAGCACCTTACTGTGATTTGAACCTGCATTTCTCCAATAACTAGTGGTTAGTGTCTTTTCATGTGTTTACTTGCCATCCGGACATCTTGGGCGAACTGTCTGTGGTAATGTTCTGCCATTTTTGTTGCTATTAAATGGTAAGAGCTCTTTACGTTTTCTAGATGCAAGTCCTTTATCAGCTATGTGTTCTCTGTGTATTTACTCCCAGGCTGTGGCTTGTTTTTATCTTACTAGTGTCTTTCAAAAGAAGACATTCTTAATTTTGATAAAGTCCAGTTTATGGTTCTCTTATGGTTCATGCCCTTTGTGCCCCATCACACAATTCTCTGTCTAACCCATGGTAGCACAGATTTTTCTCATATGATTCCTCCTTTGGAAGATTTATAATTTTAGCTCTTACATTTAGGCCAATGGGCATAATGAGATAAGCATTCTTTTTATCTGGTGTGAGTTAAGGATCAATGTTCTTTTCTTTGCATATGCACATTCAGTTCCAGCAGCATTTTTGAAAAGACTATTTTTCTCCATCGATTTACTTTGTCCCCCTTATTGAGAACAGGTGAACACATATGCGTTGGCCTATATGCCTATACTACATTGTCTTAATTCCTGTAGCCTGATATTAAGTGTTCACATCAGGGAGTATGAATCTTCCACCTTTGTTCTTCCTTTTCATAATGTTTTGGCTATTCTGGGTCCTTGATATTTTCATATAAATTTTAGAATCAACTTACCAGTTTCCACATA